AGGTGGCATAATACTCACTGCAGCGCTAGAAGTGTGTTAAAGGACCAAAGAGTGGAAGAAAGGAATAGTTCTCGCCGGGGGAACGGGAGACTTTCCGGAGGAGGTGCCAGCTGAGCAGAACTTTGAATGGGAATTTGCCAAGTAGAAAAGAGGGGAGATTTCCTCTTGAGTGCATAGGACCCGGGTGGCACAGAAACACGAAGTGCTCAGACTGTTTGAGGGACTAGAGAGTGATCTGGAGGGTGGCTGGCATCATTAAGGTGGAGAGGTAGAGGGAAGTGCGATATACAGTCAAGTGCTTCATTAGTGCTTTACAGCGTCAATTTGTTGAGTAGTTATTCACTGAGTCCTGCTGTGTACAGTGCTCGACAGACCTACCGATGTCTGGCGCTGTCCCCAACAGAAATGGGGACATTTTAAGATAATCTTGCTGCCTTGGTGCTAGACCACCAGACTGAAATACTTGCAATTTAATCTTTTGCTTATTTTTTTCCTGATACGTGTGATCATCCTCCTTCAAGCAAATATTCCTAAGGTTTTGCTTGGGCTTTTTGGCTAATCCACCTTTTAGCTAAGGGTTATACAATTTGTCCAAAGACTACGACACAGAGTTACTACTGGTGATTCCGGTCTTGGCCCTCTCTCAAGATATTGACACACTGTTTCCTCACATACAGTGTTGGTAGAAGCTTATGGATGCATGCTGGGGGGTAACATCCTGCATCCTGACATGATAAGAGAGAGACACTGGGTTCTTTTGGAAAGGAACAAGTCATAATGGACCCTATGTGAAAAGACCTGTGAACTAAAGCAATCTAGGCAACAGAGGCTGTGACCTTGGTTGTCTGATGCCATCTTCCCCTGCCCCCCCACCCGCCATAGTTACCCTGTTCTCTATTGCCTGCTGCAAGTGAAGGGTAAGGGTTGTATGTCTTTAGTGTCTTGGGTTGGACTGGGATGGGTTGGAGCACGTGGTGACTGCTGTGGGCTGATGGAAGGGAAGTACCACAGTCTGGGCTGTATGGTGGGCTGCCAGGCCCTTGCCCAAGAAAGCTAACAATCACCTAAGATGCCTTAGGAAGATGGGCACTTATTTACCTGTATTCTCCTAGCATAATGCACTGAACTGATGCCTCATAATGTCCTCCTAAAGAAAGGAAGTGGCCGATAGTGTTAAAACGTTACTGGTTAATCATGGGGAGACCGAAGCCGCCGAGGTTTATGGGCCTGCACGGAGTCATACAATGCCTCAGTGTCTGGCCTGGGAATGAAGCCTGAGTTTGCCGCTTGCTGTCAGGACGGCCGACGGCATTGTGTTTAGCATTGTACATCAGTGAAAGGGGCTTACCCTTAACAATGCACGAGCTGCTGTAGGAGACAGACACAATGAACTTTGGTACAGTATAGTCTAGAGGCCAAAATGAGTAATTTTAAGTAAATTGACTATGAGATCCAAAGCTTCATTAAGTTTTAAAATGAAAACCAAGTGAAAGCTCTGTACAGTTTTTAGGAACTGACTCCAAAAACATGAACATTCTTCCCCCATTTGAAGTAGCATAGTTTTAAGAGTCTTATTTTATGGCTTGAATCTGACACTACCGCTGTTAACCGTAGGATTTATTTATTTCAAATAAATACTCCAGGGGTCTGTGACTTATTTCAAAGATCCTGCCTTAGAATAATTGTCAGTCTAACCTTTATGCTTTTTATGTTCCAAAATGTCTCATTATTACAGACTGTGGTTTGCAGGGGGCGGTGGGGGGGGGTTTTGTTTTATTCAGATTTGGTTTAGTTTGGGTTTTTTCAGAACAGTTGAAATATGGAACCTGAAATTCCAGAAAGAGACTGGGGGAGAGGGGAGATGTCATGTTACATGCCTTTACCATCTGCATGATTGGAACTCTGGGGTAGAGATGGCGTCACTGGGGAGAACAGAGAGAGAGGAGATAAAGACGAGAGTGGAGTAGAACGTCACTGCTAAATTGCCTTTTATGTCAGACATGTCGTAGGTGACCTAGAATAAATGAGCAGGTGATGTAGATATTATTGGGCTTGGCTGCAAAGTTTTCACACTCTGGAGTTTAAAAAAAAACATGAAAATGAAATTCTGGAACTTTGGGCCAAAATACGTTGAGTAACATTGCCGTGTGAATGATTGAAACTGGGCAATATGTAGCAATCGTCACCTGCAATTTCATCTGGTATTTAAGACTGATGACAGTTTGGGCCAGGGTAGTTGAACGGGTCTCTTGCCAGGAGCTAGCCCAAGGGAGTTCTGGCAGAGGAGCTGAGCATGAATGGTGCTGTCCAGAGCAGGAATAGGGTCTCTCCCCTCTCCCCGCAGCAAAGATCCCAGCAGCCCGGTAAGAGAAACCACCGTGTGACTGGTGCTGTTGTCTGCCATAGTTGAACCTGGCAGAGCTCTTCTTAGTGAATGGCTGCTAGCCAGTCTTTGAGGGAATACGTACATACATACATCTGTCTCTCAGGAAAACTCTAATCATGAGTCCAGGAGACTTGTTTCTTTTATGGGTAAGAAAAAGTTTGCAAAAAGTCAGACATTATCAGCCAGCCTTCATATGAATCTGGGATGAGATGTATTGGCATCTAGAATGCTTTTTATTGTCATAGTCATTAATCTTGTAGGAGAGGCAAAATGGAGCTCAAGTAAGGCCAGAGAAGAGTCACGAATATGATGGAGGAGTGGCAGGGGCTGCTATATGAAGGCAGACTGAAATAATTAGGACTCCTCAGGCTCTAAACAGAGGAGAAGAAATATGATTAGAGTTTAATAAATCCATGAAGAATATGGATTAGATAATCATAGAATTTACCAGAAGTAGGCAGAGCCCCTTAAAAGCCGAGGAAAAGTGAATTTAGGACAAAAAGAAGGCCTTTCATACCAAGAAAGTAGGTCGTGCACATCAAAACCACTCTTTTGGTAACTGGGCTAAAACTTCTGGCATTGAAGAGCAGTGAAAAAGTCAAGCGTTTCTTTTATTTTAACACTATTTTCTTGAAGCATGGGGGACCCAGAGAGAGCCTAGATCAAGCTTCCTACTAGCCTTTACATTTTCTTTTCTCTTTTCTTAGGCGAAATTTAAATGTCATTCATTCGTCATTCAACAGTTATTCACTGAGGGTGGCTTCTATGCCGTGTTCTCTGCTAAGCACTGTGGATACTAGGATGAAGATGGACAGATATGGTTCCCACAGTCTGGTGATGAATGAGAAACTGTAATAGTCTGTGTGCTGAATTCACAAAAGTGCTGTGAGAGCTTGACATGAATTGCTAATGTATTCTTAGCATCAGAGCAGGCGGCCCTGAGGAAGGGGTGCTCTAACTGGGACCCGAAAGCCAATGAAGCATTTGCTATGCCAAGAGTTCGGGGGAAGAGGGAGAGGCGTATGTTGAATGCCTTGAGGTGCCAGAGGGTCAGCGTGACTGGAGGTGGGAGGGTGAGAGGGAGAGTAAGAGGAGAATCATGGAGGTGAGGCTGGAGGGGTGGGTGGAGGAGATCATGGAAGGTCTTGTAGACCATGATGATCATTATGGAGGCCGTGTGGAGAATAGAGGGGGCAACGGTGAATGTACTGGGACCCATTGGAGGATGTTGATGTTGTCCAGGCAGCAGTGGCCTGGGCTGGAGAGAGGCAGACAGATTCTAGACCTGTTTCAGAGGTCGTATGGACTGGACTTGTCAATTGACCAACGTGGATATGAGAAGTGAGGGTGAGGAATAATCAAGCTTGATTTATGAGAGTATGACAGCCAGTTAGGCCTCACATTTCATCTGAGTGAGAAGAATTAGCACAGACATTTTATAGGTCTCTTCTCTCATGATCTCCAAAGGACCCAGAAGTCAGTAGGTCTGCCTCCCTCTTACCTCTCTGTCTCCCTCTTCCTCTGTTGAATCTTTCAGGTCCTAAATGCTTCAGACTCTACAAGCTGGCACATAGATGGCCCCTAATAAGTGGATGTCAAATAAGTAGAAAGACCAAAAACTGCATGAGTGGCTTCCAGCCTCCCAAATCCCCTTGTCTTTAACCCTTGCAGAGCAAACGGCAGTTCATAGTACCCTGAGGTCAGTTGACCTGAAGCAAGATTTAGCAAGAGTCAAGATGGCGGTGATATACACAGGAATTCTATTTAATGCTTTTTAAAGGCATTTTATTCTGAAATAACATCAAAGCACTGGAAGACTAGTACACGGAACTCTCCTGTAGACTCTACTCAGGTTCCCCAGTCATTAACATTTTACCATGATTGCTTTATCACATTCCTCACCATCTAGGCGTGGAGACAGTGATGGAGATAGGGATTTAGAAATGTTCTTAGCCAGTTAATTGCAGATGTCAAGACTCTTCATCTCTAAGTACTATCGTATGTGTTTTCTCAGGACAGTGATATTCCTTATGTAACCACAGTCTGCTGATTAAATTCAGAAAATGTAACCTTCAGTGATACTGTCATTGCAGGCTCTAATATTCAGTCTCTAGTCAGCTGTCACCTGTTGTCCCAACACTGTCGTTTATGGTGTCTCTTCCCCCGCCCAATCCAGGAGGCATGGCATTCGTTATGTCTCTTTAGTCTTCTTTAACCGGGAACAGTTCCTCAGTCTTTCTTTGACGTTTTAGAGAAGAACAGGCTGCTTGCCCTGCAGAATGCTCCTCGCGGCAGTGTCATCTGATTTCCTCGTGCTTGGATGCAGGTGGTGCATTTTTGGCAGAAAAGCTGCATAATGACGTGGCACCCCTCGCGGTGCCCCCACCTCAGCAGGAGGGGAGCCGGCAAGTCCGAGTGGGTCTCATTCCTGGGAAGTTAACTTTGATTGCTTAGTCAAGGCAGTGTCCTCCTGGTCTCTCACTCTAAAGGTCCCTTTCCTCCTTAGGGTCAATAGGTTATTTAATTACCTCTCAGTACATAGTCATTTGAAATGTGACTAAGCTTTGTGCCCACAGTCATGCTTAAAAGCGCTGCATTTCCCCTCTCTCGGCAGTGTTTTAGAGCACTCTGCTGCAAGGGACCACCACCTGCGCGCCCAGAGTATGACCTGGTCTGCATAGGCCTCACGGGCTCTGGCAAGACCAGCCTCCTGTCCAAGCTCTGCAGCGAAAGCCCCAACAGCGTGGTGTCGACCACAGGTGGGTACAGTGCCGGCTTCTCGCCCTTTTCTTCCTCACCTCTGGGATGCTCTCGTTTCCTATGCTGTTGGTGGGGTCCCCTCATTTCACTGAAATGCTTCAGTCAGTTGATTATTTATTTTTAGATACTCTATTTTTCAAGCTATATTTAAGGGGGGCTTTAATAGCATCAAATTGCTGCACGCTTCATCCCTCCAGTTGGTCATTTCAGTGCCACTGAATAAATCAAGCCAGGAGAATGTTGATAGAAACTAACCTCGCAACCTGGAATTCTCGTACTGTGACAGATGGGTTCAGCTCAGGCCCACTGAGCGTCCTCCTCCCTTGAAGTGTCACTCTAGCCTACTCGTGTTGGTCACACGCTCCCTACACGGTACAAGTGATAGTCTGAATCTTCTTCCCTGGAAGATGGTGGGCACAGGGACCGTTGATCAGGTTTACCATGTTGTTCCCTGAGGTGGCCAAGAAAAGTCAGTCTAGGCAGTGGTTCTCAATCAGGGCAGATTTTGCTCTCCAGGGGACATCTGGCAATGTCTGGAGACATTTTGGTTCTTACAGCTTGGGGGGGGTGCTACTGACTTCTTTTGAGTAGCGGCCAGGGATGCTGCTAAACATCCTACAGTGCACAGGACGGGCACCCTCCATAAGGAATTATCTGGCCCAAAGTATCAAAGTGCTACCAAGAACTTTTCTCACTCGCCAAAAGTGTCCTCTTTTTCCTCTGAAAATGAAGCGGGAGAGACAAGTGTTAACTAGAGAAAATTATGGGAGGTGAAAACCAGAGCTGCTCTGGGAGAACTGACAGGGAAGGAGTGGGCTGGGACATTGTCGGGGAAACTTAAAAAGATTGTTCATTCAGACAGCTTTCTTTTTTGAACACCTACCATGTGCTAGGTCCAGTGTTAGAAACTGGGGATAAGCAGTGATCCCAGCACTCCAGGAGACTCAGGCTATGGGCCACACAGACATTAAGCTTGTGTCCAGAAGTACACAAAGGAGGAGAAGCAATCAGTTTTGCTTGGACTGGGGGAAGGGGAGGATGATACATGATGGAGTTTTCTACATTGGACTAGCAAGCCTGGCAGACAAGCAGGAATAAGAGAGTGAGGTGGGAGAAGAAAGAAGATTTGGGGACAGAGGGGAAGCTGTGTGAGGGCAGAGGGGCCTGAAACAGGTTGCTACCTCCTGGGAACCACATTTCCGAGTGGCTGCGACACATGGTTAGTAGAATGCCACGAGCTGAGTCACAGGAGATAAGCAGTGGCCAAATCTTGGCAAACCTTTTATACCACACTCAGGAATTTGAGCTTTGTAGATAGCACAGAGACATCTGCACATATTTTAAGCAAAGAGAAACTGTGTGATAAAATATCCATTTGAGAAAGATCACGCTAGCCATGATGCTGAGGCTGAACTGTGGAAAGCTCCATTAGCCATTAACTAAGACAGTGATGGGAGGGAGGGGGGTAGGGGGAGGGAGGGAGAATGGAGGGGGAGGGAGGAAGGAGGGAATAGATAGGATACTTATTGCAGGCCTAGTATTGACAGAGCTTGCTGGCCAGTTGGGTTTGGAGGATGAGGGAGAGAGAGAAGCCAAGGGTGACTCAGGTCCTGGCTTAGGTGAAGGGTATATGATGGAACCGTTGACTAGGATTTCCTGTAAGTAGGAAAAATATTGATGACCAAGAGCCTTACCTCATTTCAGGCCAGGTTTTGCCACCAAATAAGTTAGGGGAAGAGTGCAGGCTTTGAAGGCTTTTCAGAGTTTAGAATTGTAGATAAGAAACTGTGGACCTGTGAAGAAACAGAGACATAGCTTGATTAAAGGATGAGGAAAAGCTTGAGGGGTTCATGATGACTGGTGAGGCCACAGGGAGGATGAACAGAGCTCAAGTGTGGCCTGTTTCAGGAAGCCATTTCTAACTACCTTCCTTTCCCCCACGTGGAACTGAGAACTCCCTGCTCTCCCACTGTGAAGTGTTTATCTCTCTACCATTTAGTGCCTGAGACACTGCTGTTGACACATTTGTCTCCCCAGGCTAAGGGGCAGATAGAGCATCTTATTTAGCTTGTGCCTCCAGATCCTGGCACACGGTTTGGACATAGCTAAGATGCTTGTTGAGTGAATAAGCCTGCAACAGTAAATTGAATCCTTATGTTTTTACATAAAATAATCGTACCTCTCTGAACCTCATAACTGCTTTTTATGACAGGTAAGATTCTTTTTCCATATTCTGTCTTTAAATCATCTGAGGCTCAAAGGTATGGTGATATGGCTGTTTTCACACAGTTAATGACAGAGGTAGGATGCCGGTGCAGGTCTTCAAATGAAGGTTAGTGGTACCCAAGCCTTAGAATTTCTGATGAGAGTATTATTTGCTAGTTGTCTGTAAAGCTGTGGACGTCTTCTGAGGAATGTGTTACGTAATATGCAGACTTTATTAACTTAACAATTCTTTTAAAGCAAAATAACTTCCTTCAAAATATGTATGAGTAACACAAGTAAACCGTTCTTCACTTATCAGAGGTATAAATGAGAAGCACTATTGCTAGAAGCACAGTTTTGAATTACAATGTTCAAAATTATCTGTAAATAATTTTATAATTTATTATTTATAAATTGCAATGCAATATGTTCTATATTTGCTTTTATTCAATTTTTTAATAATATGTTTTCCTCTTACTGGAACCCGTTGTAACCTTGTGTACTAATTGATTTTCTGATGAATTAGTAAGTTGGCTGACATTTTGGATATCAAGCTTCTATGAGTTGTCATTGTCCTGAACCAGGCACAGTGCCTTTTTGGAGACCTGTTTGGAGGTCTCGGCTATCAAGAAGTTTATACCTGGGGTAGGATTACCATGATAAACAGTTTTTATTGAATGTTTAATATATGCCAGGAGCGAAGACAGAATAAGTGCTATACTTGATGGTATAAATATGGAAGTTAAAAGAGTGATCGTTTCTAACCTGTGGGATCAAAGAAGGCCTCATTCAAATAGGGCCTCATATCATGGGGAGAATCTAAGGAACGGGGTGAGGAGAGTAAGGATAGAAAGCATAGGGTGTATTTGGAGAACAGTTCATGATCTTACTGGGTTGAGGCCCAAGATGTGGAGGTATAGCATGAGTTGTGATCCAAAGCTAGAGACTAGAGAAGCTACTGAGAGAGACCTGTAACATGGAGAGGTGATCCATCAGGGGCTGTGAGGAATGGAGAGTTAGAGGCAGATGTCATTAATCCTATAAAACTGTCAAAGATATTGGGAAATAGAGAGGAAAGGAAAAGAATCAAATATGACTTCTAGCTGGTGACTGAGTGAAATATAAAAAGTGGGAAGAAGGTGACAGACAGTTTTAAGATACAAGATAATGAGCTTAGTTTTGGACATGCTAATTTGAGGTGTTGGCAGGACTTTCAACAGTGATCCAAATGCCAAAAGACAGGCTGACTAAAGAGAGCTTATAGCAAGAGATCTAGATTTGAGATACAACTGAATTGTTGATTTGCACGAGATTGTTGAGGGATGATGAGCAGAGAGGGAGGAGAAGAGTGCTAAGCACCAACTATATTTCATTCATTCTTTCTGCATTTGTTGAATGCCTGTTACATGATTGCCGCTGATTTAGGCACTAAGGGTGCGTCAGTGAACAAACTAGACAAATATCCTTGCCCTTTGGAGCTTACATTCTAGCATCTGCATTAAACAGGGAATCTAAACCAGGCAGTTCTATATAGTATCATATAAGTCAAATGTGAACAATAGATCAAAGGAACCAGAATTAAATAATATAAACCGAAGTCTAAAATCTGAGAGGAGGCCATGGATGTGGTGACCATTAATGACCAATGGTAGACCAGTTTCAGTAGAGCGTTGGGGTAGAAACTAACATGAACCATGAGAGGGTGGTGAGCATGCAGAGGGAATGAGGCACAGACTGTCCATTTTACTCCTTGGGCCCCTGGCTAAGATTGCACATAGATTACTCTTTTAAGAAGGTAACAGAAAGACAGAAACACAGAAAGCAGTGGTAAAGGAGTTTATTTTTGCAAGGAAATGTGCCACGTGAGCATGCTAGTGGACAGAGGTGTAAGGGTGGTGATCAGGAAGAAGGAAACACTGAAGATGTTCAGTAGAGGGCAGGGAGTGCAAGAATAAGTGAAGACTTCTGATTCTGGTCAAGACAGAGTAACTAGAACTGGCTTACGCTCCCACCTGAAATAACCAAAAGGGGGGAACAAAAAACAGACAAGATATATAAAACAGTTTTTAAGAAAGTAAATATCAAGCAACAAGGGTTAGTCATCCCTGAGAGCTGAGAAACAAATGAGATGAGCCCCACAGTTGCCCCAGCCTACTGCCTCAAGACTGTTCCCAGGCCATGGCACAGCTCCAGTGGGAAGTGAGGTGGAGCTCAGTGGACTCCCTGCATTGAGGGGATTGAGCTGAGAGCTGGAGAGACTAGGGCAGCTAGAGTTCGTAGGACACAGTACTGGAGAGGAGAGACTTGTACAGAGAGAGAACCCTAGAGATCTGTAGAGGGTCTCCTTTGAGTATGTGTCATAGCATTCATTGCGTGCACATGAGGAAACTACTCAAGGCTAGCGAAAGAACCATCTGAAAGGGCTAGAGGGAACAGTGCCTGGTGTTCACACAGGACTGAGAGTTATGCCTGTTACCACAAGCCAGATTGGAAAAGTCACAATTCATGAGGTAGTGGGTCGAGTACTAAGGAAGGTTTTGCCTTAGGAATCAGCTCTAAGCTGAGCACTGCCCTAGACGCATGTAGCAAATCATATTAATAAGACAAAAGGCTCAAACAGTTTCCTAGAAACTTTAATACACCCCAGAACAAAGCTGTGTAAGATTTACAGAAAGCAAAATTATCCAGCACTTAAGGTAAAATTCACAATGTCTGACATTTAATCAAAAATTACCAGGCATGCAGAGAGGCTGGAAGACATGATTCATAATGAGAAGAATAATCTGTGAATTGA